GATGGATGGATGATGGATGGATGGATGGATGGGTGGATGATGGATGGATGGGTGAATGGATGAGTGGATGGATGGATGGATGGATGATGGATGGATGGATGGATGGATGGATGGATGGGTGGATGGATGGATCATGGATGGATGGATGANATGGATGGATGGATGGATGGATGATGGATGGATGGATGGATGGGTGGATGGATGATGGATGGATGATGGATGGATGGTGGATGGATGGATCATGGATGGATTGTTGAATTGAATAATGAATGAGACACAGAGTCCCCCATCCTTCCCAGACACTTTTGGCTTCCTCCACTTCCCAAGGTGAGGTATAAGAGAGCATCCTGCCAGGAGTTATAAAGGTGGAAGAACACATGGACACCCCTCCCAGGAAGCCTGCCCTGATCCCACACACCAGAGCGTCTCTCACAGCCCCTGCACCATCACAGGGCGATTACAGTGAACTTCATTTGGCTGGTCCCCAGAGCCAGGCAGACAGTGGTGCCCCATCACTGTTTGGGGGACAGAGGGGTAAGGTACTTCAGGACAACTGAGACTGGCCTTTGCTCCGTGAGTCTTTCTTTCCTCACCCCCCTGCGTCACCTGGACCCCTCTCCTTGTTTTTCTGTGGGTTTCTCCTCTTTGTCACTGTTTCTCTGGAATCAGGGCTGCGGTTTTCCCTGTGTCCAATGTCACAGTGTCATTGTCCTGTGTTCATGGTTACAGTGGAATTTCCCCTGGGTCGAAGGGGCAGCGCCCTATGTGCCAGGGCGGAGGCCATGCTGACCTGTCCACCTCAGCACCCTGAGGGACCTGGCACACAGTAGGTGTTCAGGGACAGTCTGGCGTGCAGCCAGGATGGACCCGGCCAGGTTATATTTAGCGCCTTCCCCGAGGCTGACTCAGTCTCTCCGAGCCCATCCAGTCTTCCTCCTCCAGGGGACACGTCGGTCTAGAGAAGCTCCGTGACTCATCGCCTCCCGTATCAGGCCTCGTGGTCTGAGATCAGCTCCCACAAATAGCTCCGATCTCAACAGGCCAAATCTAAGCAAATACCTTGCCAATCCCACAGCGAGCACTCCGACAGACAAACATGGGCATTGGCAGAGGGCTCCTGGTGCGGAGCGTGTTGTCTTTGGACGCTCCTTCGAACAGCCAGCCGCGGGGCCCGGCGCGGGCCCGGGCACACCTGCGCGGCATTGCGGCCTGGCCGCGCCTTCGCCTGGGCTTCATGGAGACAGGAGCCGCTTTGCCTCCAGATGCTTTGCCGTCGCGATCCCACCTCCTAGGATTTGTTTTTTGGGGTGTTTGTTTTTTTTTTGCAGGGGGGCCCAGAGCTCAGCCATCGTCTAGCTGAGCGGGGAGGGGCCCAGGGTCCTGTAACTGTAGCTCAACGGGCCCGTCTTTCCCGACCCTCCCGACACATCGGACGCGGAGCNCCGGCACATCGGACGCGGAGTGACCGAGATGCTGGGCCTGAGGTGCCGGGTTCCGGATCCCCCCGGTTCCATCCGGATTCCCAGGTCTCCCCTGCCGCCCGCCTCAGGGGCGGACCTCGCGAGCTGCGCCAGGCCGGCCGTGGGATGTCAGCTCAGCCTGAGCCATCCCCCTGGGAACCCACAGCCGGCTTCCTTCCCAGGCTGTGGGCATGCTGGGCGAGACCCACGGGGTTGGGAATGATTCATAGGCCGAGGTGCGGCGCAGTCAGGCCGGGGTGACAAATGGAACCGATTAAATGCAGTAGGTCTCCCTCTTCCTCCGTGTCCAGCCGGTTCGGTCACCTCTCACGACACATATTCAAGGAATTAAAAGGGCCCCCCGCCCCGCATCACGATCGTACCTGGATTCCTTTCAAGTCCTCACTGACCAAGTTCAAACATCTCTTCGGCTCAGGAAATAGAACCTAGATGGCTTATTAAAATCTAACGAGAAGGGTTTGCAGGACACCATGTCTGTGAGGGGCCCCTGGGAGCCCCACAGTCTCCCCGGGCAGCTGAGAGCAGCCGCGTTCGGCGTGTGCCTGGGTGAGAGCCTCGGGGCCTCGTCAGCGGGACCTTTCTCTGTGGATTCTGTTGCATTTTTTAATTTGAAAAGAGGCGAAGGGTGGGAGGGCTGTGCTTTTTGAGGGAGCCGTGCGTCTGACCTACTCCGGCCGCTGGTTTTCCGTGCTGTTCTCAGGATCAGGATAAAAGCCCAGGGAACCGGGGCTTTGCCGCAGTGACAGGCTCGGCGTGGCGGAGGGTGGCTCCCCTGTCCGCTGTCCTGAGGTGGACACCCCCCCAGGGGGCCTTCAAGAAGGACTGTACAAACTCAGTCCTCTGTCCTCAGGGTGGGAGCGGAAGAGGGGCTGGAGGGCGGCTAGTCCTCGCCGTGTGAGTTTAGCTCTCGGGGTATCTGGCCCGTCCCCCGACAGCGACAACAGACGTGGGCGCAGAAGCTCCCTTTGACGTCCTCCTAGTCAGTGGTGGCCTCCCAG